CCCTGCCCAACTCTCCAGCCTGTATTTATTCCAGGAAATAAAGAATTACTTTAGCTCTTGGCCACAAAATTGAGATAAATTGTAACCTGGGTGGGCTTTTTTTGCACTATACTCATAAAATGAATATACTGTGCTAGACACACTAGAAGTTTGATCAACAGATTTTTTCCTTTCCATCTCCTGTACCTTAAAACAAGAGGTTGTGGTCCTATTTTGCAGATGAAATTTCAAGTTTGTGTGCCAAACGTACTGACGAATCAGGCTGTGGCAATGTGATTTTATTGGTAAATACTTTACTGCATGAGCTTTCACAACGTTCTTTTAAACTGGATACGTGGACATATATTTTCCAAGGCTTAACGAGGATTGCTACATCATTAAGACCTCAACGTCTTTAGTAAATAAAACCAGCCAGGGATTTCCAAATTGTAGGAGGAAAAACTATCCGAGCAACCGCAATCTTGGTAGTAAATATTTCACAATCGACTTCCTTTATTTTCACAAAGGAAATATTTACTACAAGATAGCAAAGCCTTAAAAACAGGTTAAGAAAGGAAATGTTGGCTGGGTTAGGTATAGCAAGACATCTATGGTAGAGATGGTGTCGCTACAGCAATCTGAATTTCTAATCTCTGCTGCTTGACTTGAGATTCAACTCTTAGTATATATTAAATGCAGTAATGGTAGCTCTATAATGAAAAGGAAAAAAAAAAAGGGATTTAAGGGTCAAAAATGATGACAAGAGAAGCGAAACCCAAGCGATTTTACAACGCGCGTTACGTACAGTAATGTCCAGGGTGCATAGGTGGGTGATGCTGAAGGTGGCCGTTCTGGTGGTGAGGTATGGTAGGCGTGTAGGCTGCCGTCCGACTTCCAGTCCAAGTTGTTGTACTGTCTAGAAACAGAAAGGAGCAGGTTGGTTTTTAAGGCACTTTCGCCTCATCTCGCCTCTAAGCCTCTATTTTCTCCTGAATATTCGGAAACTGGTTTTAGAAAGCTAAGTAGAGGGCACGTATGTATATACTCACTGTGATGGTAAGTAGCTGGCTGAGCTGTAAACCCATTCTGCTGAGCTCCTGGCTGAGGCCCTGAAGCAATCTGTAAGAGTCCATCACTATGGCTACCTGTCAATATACTGGTCGCTTGACCTGGTAAAAAAACACACTACCTATTCGTGAACGTTCCAAAACTCGAAGGAAAAAGAGCTCAGCACTACTGGGGAGGAATATAAACCCAACTAAGGGTACTGCAATACACAGCTCCTACACGTTTGCTTGCGGGATATTGTTGGTTTTTCCACCCACCAGATTGTTTTTAGGAACCTCGAAGCGAGATGCTCTGCACCAGCTCATTCTGACTCCGACACCTTTGGGATTTTAGGAGGACGCGGCAAACTCTGCTTTATCAACCGCACCTTTCTTTGGCTCACATCTCATTGTACAGTTTGAAGGGGAAAGGAGAAGAGATGCCACAGGTTTTATGAGATAACGTACATGGGGTAGGTTGGCTATGACTCCAAACAGGTCAAAAAGGATGGCAAATAAGTTGCTTATTTTCGGCGTAACTACTGCTCCTAGGGAGGATGCTTGCTTCGATCTACGCTCCTCTAAAATACACCAAAAAGATGGTTTGATTTTAAACAAAACAGTGCTGGAAGAAAGCTGCACGCATCACTGCTAAATCATCTGTTGGGTTTTTTTTCCCCTCTCAGGTAAAGATTTCAAAAAACGCCTAAGCTTTAAAGTGAAAACCAGCGGTATTTCAGAACAGCTTGAGAGAATTGGACTTTAAAAAGGCTTTAAAGGCTTTCAGCTCAGCTATTAATGCTAAAGTGATCACAAGTACGCTCACGCTCTCAAACTGCTGTGGCCAGCAGAATTTAGCTCACCAAAAACTTGACCTAAAACCTAAAAATGAGCTTTTTTCCCCCCCTGTCCATTTGACTCCAACAATCAGAGCGCTGGTGAAATAAAAGTTATCGGCTCTCAGGAAACACAATTAAAGTGCCTGTCCTTTTTTTCTCTGCTGGAGGCAAATACAGACATCGTATCTCAGCTTGCCAAAAAACCATCCCTAATTTTAGCAAAAAAGAGCTGTCAGCTAAAATTAAAGGACGTTCTCAAAACACCACGCCACCGTAATTGAAATCTGACAACGTGAAATCCATTGTATTCACGCGTTTCTGATACTGAAGTGATGAAAAGGGTGTCAAACCCTCGCAAACTCGATGGTTTCCCTACGTTAGGACTGCAGGACAGCGCGTCCGTAACTGCGTTACTGTCCTGCTGCAGAGTGAGGTTCGATAAACCTGAATTTTCCCTCAAATACACACAGAAAAGTTAGAAAAACTTCAATGCAGCACTTCAAAGGACTCGTGAAAATATTAATTAGGGTTGTCACCTCGGTAATACAGTGGGCCAATATAAAAATAATCAAGTTACAACTGGAAAACTCATTGTGTCAGCTGTGGAAAACTAAAAAATTGTCTGAAAACCCCTCACTAGGGCTACCTTACAGTAAATCTCTTTGCTGTCCTGCTTGCTGTGATTATAAAACAATAAATTAATAAAATCCTTCCATTCCTACAGCAATTATGCCACAAATAACCACACTATTTTGTCAGTGGTCAATATTGAATCACTGAACCTTTGGTGTATCCAAACCAGTTTTATAACACTCATGTAGGGTAAAGTCTCATCAAGAAGAGACCGGGCCACCAAGAAAAGTTCTTGAAATTATGCTGCAAGTTCAAACTTGATGTTAACACTTAGGAGACCGCCTAGATCATATCGCCACACATTTGAGCGGTGTGGTAGCAGCACGGTTCCAATGCAAGACCTACTCTGGCCAAAACTGAGCTTTCCAGTTTAGGATTTGCTAAAATCGCGATGATCTTACTTGTTGAAGCCACAGGAATGTTGGGAAAATTAGTGGTGCTGGTGGTGCTGGCCTCGGTAGGAGCTAACATGGCTGGGGTGCTGTAAGGCTCCGTCGAGGCCCGGTTACTCGGTGGGTGCTGGATGGTTTGGACTGAATGGCCCTCGGCCGAAGACAACGACGGCTGCCCCTCGTAGTCGTGAACGTATTCGTCTTTCACCAACATGCTTGATGGAGCTGCGAAGAATCAAATGGTTAAACATGCCTAGCAAAGCTGTTTAGCAAGAAAAGGAGCTGGGGGTGCTGGTGGCAGCAGATGCCCAGGAGGCAGCAATGTGCCCTGGTGGGCAAGAAGGCGAAGGCCAGCCTGGGGTGGAGGAGAGGGGGTGGCGGTAGGGCAGAGAGGTTCTCCTGCCCCTCTGCTCTGCTCTGCTCTGCCATGGGGAGGCCACAGCTGGAAATGGGGTCCAGTTCTGGGCTCCCCAGTTCAAGA